TAAATTTTATTATTCTTTTGTTTATTTTTCTCAAGTATAGGAACAGCGATAAGATAAATTAAAGTTGGAGGAAAATTTTGGTGTGTGACTTTATGTTGAGTTATTAAGAGGATTTTGGAAACTAATCTTGAAAAGGTAATCTTGGTAGGATATTTAGATAGATATGGATTTAGATATGGGATGGACAAATGAGAGATATGAAGGCGCCTATAGATGAAAGAAAATAGGGGAAAAAGTTTGAGAAAAAATAGGGAGAAATTTACGTGAGAGAGGAAGGGAGAGTTTTTGGGTGTGGGAGAGAAAGGTTTAGAGAGATAAGAGAATTTTATTTATTTTTGGTTCTTTTATTATTTGTTTATTTTCCCTAAGTCTATTTAAATAGAAAAGTCCCTCATTGTAAAGATTAGAGCATGAAAATTGAGTAAATTTGGTCTTGTGAAAAAATTGTTTTTTGGGTGGATTCTCTTGCAAACCTTGAGAGATGGTATATTCTCTCAACTCTTTTCTTTTTTTTTTTTCTTTTTTTTATTGTTCAAGTTTATTTTCTACCGCATCAGTTGATATCATAGCAAGGAAGATCAAGAAATCCAATTTTTTTTTGCAATGCTACCAAAAGCTAATCAAGCTAATCCTACTCCTATTATAGCCAATCACTGGGACAAGTTATAAAAAATTTGACTAAAGCCCTAGAGGATGGTCGAACCAAAGTATGTAAAGTGAATTGAGGGATGCAACGAATGGATAAGAGGTTGCAACGATTGAATAACAATGTGCATCATGAAGACTCGCAGCCACATTGATCTTGCATCAGTAGTCCAACGACAAACTCATGGTGTTTATTTCGAGCACAACAAAGGAATTTACTGGCCAGATCCATGTCATATAGAGCAACTACGTGACTTTGGTATTAAAGTTGATCTCCCGAAATTTTATGGTAAGCTCCACATCGAAGTTTTTATTGATTAGCTAAGCGTAGTTGAGAATTATTTTGAATGGAGTGAATTGCCAAAGGAACATATGGTTAAAATTGTTGCAACCAAGCTCCACCGGTATATTGCAGACTGGTGGGAGCAAGTCCAACAATCCCGACTTTGTAATGGAAAGGGAAAAATTACCAATTGGTAACAGATGAAAAGAAAATTGAAAGAAACGTTTCTTTCAAGAATTTCATAATCTTCGACATAATGAAAAAGAAAAATGGAATATTATACTTAGGAGTTTTATCGATTAATTGCTCATAATAACCTCTAAGAGACGGAAACATAAAAAGTTGCTCGTTATGTAAATAGCCTTCAACCTATCATAGGGACGACGTTTTTCTATATTGACCATGGACTTTAAATCAAGTTTTTCAACTTGCTTTGCAAATAAAACCTAAATACCAAAGGACAACCAATAGCGAATTTACACCCAAATGAGGTTTTACGCCAACCGAAATTTAATGAAGAAAAAAGAGATGCGCAAAGTTTACGTGTTAACGATGTCATGAACCAAGACACTGAGCATAAGAATGCCCAAAAAAGATGAAAGAGGTACACTTGGCTAAGGAAGATGATGAAATTCAAGAACAAGATCAAGTTTTAAAAGTGATCTTGCATAGTGATGAAGAAGATCCAATTTCAATCAAGCTCAAGGTCTAGCTTTTCCTAACCCCGGGAGAATGATGCATATAAAATTGAGGTTATTTTAATATTTTATTTTACCATTCTTTTGTTTATTTTCCTTAAGAACAGGAAAAACGATAGAATAAGTTAAAGTGGGGGGAGGAAATTTTTGGTGCCTAACTTTATGTTAAGTGGGAGGATGTGCATTAGTTGTTCCAAGGATTTTTGGAAATAGATAGGAACTAATCTTGGAAAAGTAATCTTGGTAGGAGATTTAGTAAGATTTAGATAGAAATGGATTTAGATATGTGAAGGATAAAAGAAAGATATGGAGGTTGTGTAGATGAGAGAAAAGAGGAAAAATAAATTTAAGATTTATGTGAGAGAGTTTTAGAGAGAGAATACAGTTTTATTTATTTATTTATTTCCTAAATTTTTTTTAAAGGGAAGAGTCCTTCATTGTAAAATTCAAATAACGAAAATTGAGTGAATTTGGTTTTGTGAAAATATCATTTTTAAGGTGGATTCCTTTGCAGTCCTTGAGAGATGGTATATTCTCTCAACCATTTTCTTTTTTTATTTTTATTGTTTTGGTTTATTTTCTCCCTACATCAAAAAGGCTAAATAGCTAAAAAGACCATTCAATGAGGGAAAAGTTAAAGAAAATTGTTTCATACGGGTTGAACCGTATTTCTACATATGCAGTCCAGAAGTATAAAACATCTATTTTAAAGATAGATGCAAATATGTGGTCCATCTAAAAACAATTGAAACTAACCGTCCACAAGTTTTCTTAATAATTTATAGTTTTTAAAATTTATTTATTATTCATATTCATGATCTTCATGATAAAGATTACATATCTTTAAAAATTAAGTCCAAAAATCCATCTCAAAAATAGATTTATTAAGGAGTCCGCATTTCTACACGTACGGGCTTGGCCGACATGCTAACCGCGTCCAAAAGTTAAAGCAGTAGGTTTTGGGTTTGCAAATGCAAATGACTCGAGGCCAGATGGTTTTTTGATGACCTTCATCCAACATTTCTATAATGTTATCAAACAAGACTTAATGCAAATGGTGAAGGAATTTTATCATAGAGGAATGACAAATATGGTCACTTTTGTAAGATTAAATGCTCTAAATGATATAAAATCAATCAGACTGAATAATAGCAAATATATTGGCCACTAGGTTGGAAATAGGTGTTTCTTAACGGTAACGTAATTATATTTTTTTATAAAAAGAGTAATTTATATGCGGATCTTAAAATTTTTTCTAAAATACAAAATATTTCATTTATAGGTGAAAATTATAAAGAAGGTCGGTTAACCTGTTTTTTTTTTTTCAAAATTACCCCTTGATATGAGGACATCCTCAGATAGAATTTTAATTTTTTAATCTTTTGTTTTTTCATTAGTAGGGCACTACCTTAAAGCTTGGAGCATTGCCATACTAATGGAAAAACTAAAAAAAAAAAAATCGGACCACCTCAAATTGATGGGTAATTTTGAAAAAAAATAAAAAAAGTTGAGTTGACCGACTTTCTTTGTAATTTCTGCCTACAAATGAAGCATTTCATATTTTAGAAAAAAATTTAGGAACCGTAAGTACATCACTCTTTATAAAATGGAGGCAGATAATTGACAATATTATTATAGCTCAAGAATATATATATTCTAAAAAGCTGGAAAAGAAAGCATGGTCAATATACAAACTAGACCTATACAAAGTTCAAATTGGATGGCTTGGAGTGAATCACAAAGTCGAAGAATTTTTAGTTTGAAACTTTGTGTCTATTCAATGACACCCGTAAAACTACTTATTTTGAAATTTAAGGGACGAGAATGATTGTGATATCCATATATAAAAGATAAATGGAATGGCCCAAAATAGGCCATTATTACCTGAAAGGACAAATCCTTGATTTTTTTTTATTTTTTTCCAAGTTTGCATCGGATCAACCTCCATACTCTCCATTTTTTGTCATGTTTGCGTGTGCCTGGTGATTTTATTTAAGTGAACTAAGTTATCTGATGTTAGAACCATCGAACTGCATTCTGCAATTTTTTTTTTTGTGAATTAAGCAGTCCGATGTTAGAATCATCAGACCGTATTCTAGAGATTTTTTAGGTGAACCATTTTGTTATGTTGATTTTGTTTAAGTGACACATGGGATCTTGATTAGAACTTCCCTTTTGAACTTGACATGTCAACCTCCCATTGCGCATTCGGTGTTGTAATTGTGTAGATCCATATTGGCCCAATGTTTTGCTCATCAATTTGGGATTGATCAAGATTTATATGTGTCACGACTTAATACAGTCAGATAGCCCTCAATTTTTCTTTAGCAAGGTTCCTCATTATCGAAAGAGTTGACTAACACAATGGGAGTCAAGGGGCTTGCCACTGTTTGGTTCACATCAAAGGATCCAACAAAATGCATTTTAATGTTTCGAACATCGGACCGTTTAGTTCACTTTAACAAAATTAACAGAATATGGTCCAATGGTTCTAACATTGGATCAATTGATTCACTTAAAAAAATCAACAGAATGTGATATGATAGTTATAACATCAAATCGCTTAGTTCACTTACACAAAATCACCAGCCGAATGCAAACATGGCAAAAAATGAAATGTATCAGGGTTACCAAGCGGTTTGATGTTGGAGCAAACTTGGAAAAAAATTAAAAAATTCAAGATTCCGTCTTTCTAGATAATAACAACTTATTTTCGGTCTATTTCGTTATAACAGGACTAAAATTCAATCCATAGGTAAATTTCTCAAAGATAAATAGTCTCTTTGTGGGCAATCCTTTTACTCTTGGTTAAGGCTTTACCCTAGGGGGTAAATCCACAGTATTACCGCTGAGGGGGTACAATATATTGTGGCAATTAGGAATAGGCTCCGTGGTAATTGTTGATCTTGATCTCTCCATCATTCTCTCTCTCCATCGCCACTTGCCTTCCCTTCTCTCTCTAACATCATCTTTCAAATTTTATCATAGTATCTAATCCTTCAAATTTTATCATAGTATTTAATTTTGATGTAAAATATTTTTAGGATTATCTCAAAATTTATTTTTATATTTAATTATAAAATTTTAAAATTTTAAAATAGTTAAAATCAAATAGATCTATAATCATATCATAATCTTAAAAATGGATGAGGTAGATAATATGTTATAAAAAATACTATTTTTTAGACTTAAAATCTTTTTATTTTTGATGTTCATACAATTCGTATCGAGATGATCTTTTTATTTTTTATGGTCATACATGTGATGTCGATATGATCAATCAAAAGTTTTTCACTTTTTCCGATGGATTTTTTAAGTGCATCCGTAGCTTTATGCAAACTTTTTCCTTTCGTATTTTTTATTTCCTTGGCCTTTCTGTCTTCCTCCGGTGAGAACTCCCTCTCTCTATCATCAAAATTTTGTCCCAAATCACAGAGAAGCACAGGGAGCTAAAATACCTCATAGAAAGTCTTTTCCCTTGTGTTCTCTCTCTTTCCATGTGTCTCCCTTACTTATAAGTTTACATGTTTTGATGGTGTAGGTTCGTAAGTTCTCGTAAATTAGGGTTGTTTTCTCCTGGACAAATCATTTTTCTTTTTCTGTTTTTCTTTTTAATTTTGGGTTTATTCTTTGTTTTCTGTTCCATTCTTAATTATCTCCTGTAGTTTGCTTAGTTAAAATTTCAGTGTGAGAGGTTTAAAGAGAAATTTTTTTGCAGACGAGTGCTATTGAAGCTGCTCATCTGAAAAAGAGCTTGTGACATGAGAGCATGGTCATTAGCTTTGCACATTCGCCGTTGCTTTTGCAACCGTTCTCAAAAGGATCTTCAATCATCCTTCCACAACCCCAGGCCTTGGCTCTTCATTGGCTTGGGAAACCCAGGCCAGAAATACCAAGGAACAAGGCACAATGTGAACATTCCTTATCTTCTTCCTCTTTGTTTAATTAAATCCCTTGATATGCATTGTCGTTTTCACCCACTCTCTCTCTCTCACAGATGGATGATAAGAGAAATGATGGTTTTTCATATACCATCAAAGTTAAATGATGCCTTTTCATAATCACAAGGCATTTATCTAACATACCCTCTTTTTTTCTTTTTTTTCCCTTCACTTAAACCAGGTGGGTTTCGATATGATTGATGCTTTTGCAGAATCACAGGGTATTTCTTTTAGTACAGTTCACTGCAAAGCTTTCTTTGGGCAAGGTTGGCTAATATGCGTTATGATCCTTTTTCTTTTATCTCATTATTAATATGTTGTTTTGGTTTGTTTTGTGAGGATTACATTTGTTACTATTCTTCTTCAGGCATGGTTGGAAATACTCCAATTTTCCTTGCAAAACCACAGACATACATGAATCTGAGTGGAGAATCGGTGAGAATCATCTTGTTTTCTTTTCTTTTTATTTCTTTATTTTCTTTTAACTTATCCTTTTTCAACAATTTCTTTGCATTGTCTTGTCATTGGGTTCCAAAGATTAAGTTTTTTATGTACCATTTGGACACATAATTATTGTGATGGAGCTATCATTCTTTGGTAGTTTAGTTCGGTGGGAAAAGTATTTTATTCAAAGCAAATTGAAATGCTCTGTGGATCTCATAAGGGTATATTCATCTGTTTTAAAACTAATATGTGAATAGCGTCAATTGCCTCTTTTCCATTATCGATTTGTAGAGTATTTACAGATACTATTTGGGTTCCATAACATAACTTATCAAAGTTAGTATGTGGCATCTACCTCATTTGAGAACACTAAAGAAGTAATAATTAATATACGAGGATCAATCGGTGGGGTACTGTTTCAAACACAACTATTTCCTACTAGAGAACCCAAGGTAATACTCTCTCTGGCACACTTTTGGAATTACTAGAATGCCTTTTTCTCATTTTCATCCTTTCCCTTAATGTCGGTAAGACAAGACCAGACCAGACCAGACCAACTGGTTCCCTTAATGTCGGTAAGACCAGACCAGACCAGACCAACTGGTCCTCCCGATCGAACTGTAAAAAGGTCCGAAACTATTGTCATTTGACACCAACTACCAATTGGTCAAAAGTGGTCTGAACCAGCTAGTTCAACCTGATGGACCAACTGGTCGTGTTTCTTTTGACAACAGAGGTTAGGCCAGTTTTCGACTGGTTTTGACTAGTTTTATATTTTTTAATTTACATTTCAGTTTGGTCTAACAATTGAACTGGTGAGTCCAACCTATTTGGATCTTACTAGTGCCCTTACTGGTTTGATGACCAGTTTGGTCATGATAACAACGCTTGTCCTATCTTGTCCTGAATCTTTTGATCCTCCATTGACGTTTTTCTTCTCTATTTCATCACACTCTATGGTTCTATCTTGACTCCCTTTCTAGCCATGCGGATAATTGCCCATACACTTTTCCATCACCTACCCATATTCGAATCCCAATTGTTCCCTAAGCCCTTAATAGGTAATTGTGAGCCAGAAGCCCTCTCTCTCTCTCT